CCCCCCCCCCCCCGCTTCCCAAACATTGCTACTTGCATATTATTGTGATGGGCATCCTTAATGGCCATTAGTGCAGGAGGCAAGAAGAGGCAAGCTTCAGCCCTATGAGGAATCAGCAGCGATGGAGTGGTGTGAAAGGCTGCCGCAGTTATATGCAAGCACCTCTAGGTACCTGCACTTGCCTGCATTCGTTTTTTTTTTCGTTTTTTTTTCCTGACATCTTTAATTAAAAAAAATGACCCATTGCTCTTTAAATGTGTTTATAGTTTCCAGTGGTAAGATCGCCCAGCTTGAGCTCACAGCTTCTTCTACATTCTGCATAATGGAATATGTAGTATCAGTAGAAAAAAAAAAATCAAGAATCTGATGTTGAAAGTGAAAACTATTTTATTGGCTGCAGTCAGCTGGGATTGGGAACACATTTGTGACATGTTGCTGCTGGATTTTGTAAGAGACATAAGAATCTGGAACAGGAGTTAATGCACCCAATTATAAATGAAACATTAGATCTGTGAAAGCCTAGCTGGGTGAACCATAGTTTAAAGCTAAATTACCCCCACAGCAGGCATAGGAAGGCATTTACTACTATAAATTACTTAGAATGTGTCTGAACTGCTGAACACCTGGATAGTGCTGCCTGGCATACCTATGGTCTGCAGTCTACTGTATTTATAGCATTCACTCCTGTATATGAGGTTGGTAGTTTGAGAGGTGAACAAGGAGTTAGGTCTATATCATACTGACTTTGACTTACCATGGCCCTGCACAATACAAATCTGTCCTCCACCCTATTGACTATTGATGTAACTCCGGTTGCAGGTACCAGATTTCATATAAAACTCCATGTATTCTCCAACCAATAGCTAACCTAGCTTATTACAACACCAGTTCCAAAAAAGTTTGGACGTTGTGTAAGCCCTGCGGAACGCTTTTAACCTCAGCTGGCCAGACCATTTTTGCAATTTTTCCCATTGTTTTGATTTTCTACTGCTGCATTGCTAACATTTGTAAAGGACCCCCAAAACCACAGTCCCGGGAGAATAAAAAAAGGGTGCTACTAATTTTGTAGATCCTGCAATAATTGCGCAAAGGTTTATCCAATCAATATTAATCCGTTAAAAATGCCCAATTAAATTGATAAACGCACACTAAAATCAGCATCAGTGCACAAAAAAAATACTTTGCTGACTAAGTTTAAAAGATAAAACTGTAATAAGATATTAAATAACCAATATTTGTAAATTTTAAATTGCTCCCTTTTGCGAAATGGTGAAGAAATGCAAAACTGCAAATTATGTGAGTTATGTTAAATATCGTTTTTGCACTGTGCTGGTGTGTGTTGTAATAAAATGATGCAGGAGTACATTTAATCGCAACACAGCGTATTACAACGCATGACAATGCGTCACAACACTTTGCCATGCGCTGCCACACAGTTACATAAATGTTATTTTGAAAATAAAAAAATCAATCTCTATGATGCGTTCTAACAATGCAGGACATGTGCATTGCATACACCACAATATGGTGGTCACTGTTGCACGTGTATTATTTGTGTGTGGGGGGCGTTGTGTTTTTTTTTTTACTGTTGGGGGCTTTGGTAAAATATCAGGGGTCTAAACAGACCCCTTATATTTTTTACTTTTGAAGTACAAAAAGAAATTGAGGACACAGAGTCCTCAATCTCTTTTTCTGCGGCCTCTGTTCTGAATGAATGGAAAGCACTCAGTACAGAGGCTTCCCATTCATTCACAAACTGGAGATAGTAAATATTTACTATCAACCAGTTATGGATGGGTAGAATCCTCTGTAGTGAGTGCTTCTACCCATTCAGAAACTCATGAATAAACAGGAAGTGATGTAAAGCACTTGCTGTTCAATCATAACTGGGGATGCATAGTACTGTGTTTCCCCAGTTGTTTACAAACACTGGAGTCATCAGCAATCACACAAGAGGATCAGTAAATATCACACATATTTACCGATCCTCCAACTCTCCATCCCAAGCCGCTTGGCCACGCACAGATCACAGAGCTTGGCCATGCAAAATGTCACGGCTCCCTCCTCTGCCCCCTCTCCCTCACCTGCTTCAGCACTGTATTTCCCCTCGGATCTCCACTGCCTCAGACCATACAGGCTGGGGAGAGCAGTGGGGACCAGAGGAAAAACAGATCTCAGCATCGAGCGTCTCTGGGAGATGACAGCTATTCTTTTACAGGGGACTGTCAGGGGAAACGTTCTGATAAAAAAATAAGAAAAATAAGGTAATTTTTAAATTGGTGGTAGCAACACGTCTCAAAAAAGGTTTGGTACAGGGCCATGTTTACCACCATGTAGCATCCCCTCTTCTTTTAACAACACTCTGTAAATGTCTGGGAACTGAGGAGGCCAGTTGCTGCAATTGAAAAGAAAGTGTGATGTAGTGTCAATGTGTGTCAAATGCTACAGGCACCATTCATTTTAACATACAGTTCTAATACTGCTCTGGTGGCAGAGAGTACTCAACGGGTTCTTAGGGTGTGTGCAGATCATCTTGTTTTTACTGTACATTCTCCAATAATAGGTTTATTTCCCACTGTTATAACATTGTTTTTCACTGCCATGCCTTTGCAGTCCAGCTACAGAGCTGTTTTGTCAGACAAAAGGAGAAGCAGTGCTGCAGGAGAAGGCTTGAATTACAACTAATGTGGGCCCCTTCTGCAATGGCTCGGTTTCATTTGTTATTCATTACATAAATTCCTATTGTAATGGACAACAATATTTTTAGCTGCTAATGTCATGAGTGGTTAGTAAAGCAATGCTGATGTCTTAATTGAAGACAAACAACAATTCACCTTTTCATGAAAATGCCTTATGAAAGATTTTGATGGATGTGTAACTAAAAATATTTTTATAGAGTTTATAGTTCACATGCAGGTATTTGTATACAGATACTTAAAGCGTTTGATTTTTTGTTTGTTTTGTTTTGGATGGAGTAGGAAATGGTTTAAACTTTTAGTGCTTGTTCACACCAAGCGCGGAGCAGGGCAGTTACAGCCCGGATCAAAACTGCGTCCAATGTATTCCAATTGTATTTTTAGCTCCAGTTCACTTTGCAGCGTTCCGTTCCAGAGCAGGTAAAAAAACTGCAGCAAGCCCTATTCAAAAACGCAACACAATGCAATTTAATGCAAAAAACTAACCATAAAGAAAAAAACTCTATGGTCATCTGTGATGGCATAATCTTCCTTGGTCACTTCTTGTCTGTGGAAAAAACAATAAAAAATAAACAATAAAAACATAACAAGCAAACATTACTACCTAGATATCGACATGCGGGTGTATGAAAAAAACTTGTCGGGGTGTGCACGAAGGTCTGCATAAAGTCCCAAACTGGCCCTTTGGATCTCTTTCACTCATCAGTGGGTGCACCCAAAAACAAAGTCTCCTTACAGCACTTTGGCGTAGCAGTATAATAACCATCACCAGGAGCATGCCTGCATCCCATGGATCCATGTTGCAACAATTTTACATGTGAGACAAGGTCAGGGGAAGCAGGAAATAATCAGAACAGCTAATGAAAGGTCAGAGGTAAAAGGAAATGACCTCATAACATTGTTAGCTTCCTGAAAAAAAAAAAGCTCTGGAACACGTCAAAAACGCATCAAAAACGCACACATTGAGAGGATATCTTTGCAATGTGAGGAAAACAAGATATTCCCTTTATTTCTGTTCTGATGACAGCTCAAAATGTTGGATTTACCCTGACTTTTATTCTTAGAGACATTGGTGTTTAGGACAGTTATGGCAAACACAGGCAGCAATTAAAAACCTGTCATTCTAACCCCTCCCCACTCTATCCAAATCTAAAAATTGCCTTTAAGTACACTTTAAAGAAATAATCCGGGCATGTAAAAAATTTGCCCCAATCGCAAGCTCTTGCAGTGGGGTTACCCCTGCACTGCAATCTCTTGCAGTGGGGCTACCCTTTACTGCAAGGGTTAAGTGCACGTTTTGGTCAAGGGATGAAAATAGCAAATTTACACTCAGCTGAGCCTCGAAGCTGGCTGTCTGTTAAGGTGGCCATACACTGTACAACCATCGCAAGACCTTAGTCTTGCGATGGTTGTAAAGTGATTAAAAAAACGTACGATCTGCCCATCTTGGACAGGCAGATCGTACTCTCGATCATCGCAAGCCCACCCCCCTGAGGGGCGGGCTTCCGATGACCGCAATGCTGAACGGGCAGTGTGCGTGTGCGCACACCGGCCCGTTCGGCATCTGTCTCCCGAGCACCGTTATAACCAGCCGAAAATCGGACGATTCTCGGCTGGTTTTCTAACATGCTCCTTAGACAAAAGACGTGCAACCGTACAGTAGAAACGGTCGCACGTCTTCATTCACACTGTTCGATTCTCGTACGATCGTGGGATTTCCCGCGATTCTCGTACGAGAATCGAGCAGTGTATGGGCACCTTTAGACCGTTCCCTGAAGCCTCACTCCCCTTCCGCTCCGGCAGTCTCTATGCAGGCCGCATAGCTGCTCCTGTCAGCGCTGGCAAGCTCCTTTCGGCTAGAGCTCTGGCCGAAAGGACGATGCAAAGCACGAGGCTAGGGGTATGTATTAGGCTAGGATCA